AAGTTAAAGATTTTATCTTTTTCTTTAACATGACAAACTATACTGAAACTGGCCACTACTGAATAAACGAAGATTTTCTATTTATTCACAATTATCTAAATGAAAAGTTCAGACATTAGATCCTGCAAACATAAGAAATCATCCATTATCCATGTCAGGGTTGCAGGAGAAATAAATTACAATACATCACATTTTCTCCAAACTTTATTTCACACAGTTAACTCATTACATTGACAACCAAAAGGGTGACACAACATGTGATGCACATATAAACAGACATACGAAAAGATCTACATAAAATAAATTTAAAGAAGCAAAATACCTGCAATGAATGAGTAAAAACTGAACAATATGCTCATCAAATAGCAGCAAATTCACATTATGAAACTAACCATCTTTTCTTTATACAAGGGGTCATTTTGTTTTTGTTACAGCTGAATGCCCACTGACTTGCACTAGCACTGCTACGAAATGCAAAACTACGTGGAGGCTGCCGGATTCTGGAGAGAGAAGCACTTGTTAAAACAGATTAAAAGGATCTGTTTCAAATGTGTCTTTCAAACTGTCCCCTTCAGCAAATGAAAGAAACAGTTGCTGTGTGTTTCGTTATCTCGATGCTGCAGTGCTGAAAAGCTACATGCTCGTATAATCTGTCTTCAAGTGTCGGACAAGGGGAACGCGTCCTGGCGGTCTGTTGTGCTTTCGGGAAATAGATAACAAATACTGCACGTTTAAGGAACTCAGGATGGATGATCCTGAGTTCTCGCTCTGTCCTGAACGCTCCATAAATCCTGCTCAGCTGACAAAATGTATTTACATCAGCGTAGTTTATAGTGAAGCCATATACATTAGTTACATCGAGAAAAGAGCAAAAACACGGGCAACATCTGAATTAAACGAGATTTAAATGTGACAGGGACGGAGACGGAGAACGAGTATGAGAAACACAACGTTTAACGAAGCTCCTGGCGATTGTCTGTCTCCATTCCAGTCAACTGAGCCTCTCACCGAAAACCACACAAAAGAAACCTCAGATTATTTCTGTCATTTTACGTGTGATGTTTTTTCACCAGTCAGAATTTTTATAAATGGTGCAGAGGACGAGTCAAGACCAGTGCATGTCCCATTTTCTTATTTCTCACAACTTAGCTGGGATTTAAATGTTGAGCAGTTAATCGGACTCAGGCCTGATCGCACTGACTCAAACATGATCGTAGTGACTCGATCAAGATTGTTCTGACTCTGACCTGATTGTATTGACTCGGATATCGTCACACTGACTTGGACAGTGACTCAGACATATTGCTTGTAATTCAGACACGACTTGAGCGACCACAACTCGATTCACTCAACATGGTCACGCTGACATTATTATATCTCATGATCACAAAGCTGAGACAGGTCGTTAACGACATTACCAAATCAACTGAAAGGTGCCACGGTGACTTGTTCATGATCTTAGTGTCTCAAAGCTACTTTTGGCAGCATGGACACGATCGTGACGCTCGATTACATGGTGACTCAGGTATGATCGCTGAGCCTCGGACATTATAACCATAGTAATACAGATGCGATCAAAGTGACGCGTTGATTTGGATTTGTTCTTGGTGACTCTGACTTTAACAATCAACACTAAAACACAGAAGACTTGGGGCTCGACTTGACTAACTTAACTAACTTTGACTTCAACTCTGTAACTCGCTTTATTCTCATGCTTTCGGTCTCTAAATGTTGCCCGTGTGTCGAAGCCTCAAGATTTACTGAGGAGCATAGAGAAGCCATTCCAGCCCTATTAAAGAAAAGCATCAGGCTAACGGCACGTAAGTATATTTAACACGAGTGGTTGCAGAGGGGACAGTAAACCTCCTCAGCAGTTACAACCATTCCTATAAGCAAAATAGAGATATTTGGATCACTTTGTGTTATACATTAAACATGATGCAGCATTGCAGCGATGATAGTCACTATTTCCAAAGAGGAATCGATAAAGTGCCAAAACCTTACTTTCAAAGTTGCTACAGGCTAAACTTCCTGTTCGGTGATTCGGAGGAGAAGCCGAGAGGAGTCACTGCCGTCAGCGGAGTTAGACGTTGAGGTGCAAAACTAAACGTACACCCCGACTGGATTCTTTTATGGTTTTGTTGTTGACATTAGGTTTATTCAAAATGAACAAAACCAATTTCCATTAAATCCCGTGCAGGGGCTTTAGGCTCATCGTAGGTTTTGGTTTGTACTCGGCTTCTTGTCATTGGTGACGACTGGCAAACATCGTCATCTTAATATATAATTTCGGTTATTACATTATTTTCCGTACTTTCAGCCATCGTGACTTCTTTTGGATTTCTGCTGCCGGTCGGGATTTGTTTGTTTTCATGTGTCTCAGAAGAAACGATTAAACGTTGCTTCTTTACATTCAAGCGTTGAAGCTGGAGAAAGGTGCTTTAGTCTTTGATTTGTTATGTGTGAATCGTCTCATGCAGCCACATTGTTAAGAGCTGAAAACATAAGGCACATTAAACAGATTGATTATGTAATGGTGATATTTTCTAACATCAAGTTGGGATCTGAAGTCCGTCTTTAACAACCATTAGAAATGGTTTTTAGATTTTGTTTTCCCATGAATTCATGTATGTGATGTGAACCTCAGTGTCTAATCTCTGCGATGACGTCAGTGACTCCTGCTCCCGGACCACACATCTACCACTCAGGCTTTTTCGTCTTCCCATCAACCACTTCTCTCTTTTCTTTCTCCACCTCCTCTTCCTCCCTTCGCATCTTCTCTCCATCGAAGACATCCTGTTTTCTTCGCTGCCATCTTCCTATTCTTCTTCTCTCTGGGCTCCACTTGTCATCTATCAAAGATGCCCATCCGTCATAGCCTGTCTCCTCTTCCTCTTCCTCCATCAGAGATGTGTGTCCTGCTCCTCTTCCTCCTCCTCAGTCGCTGCTTGATTGACAAACACCTGAAATAAAAACCAGACAAGAGGCGTCATGCTGTTGCCGAGCAGAATGAAGTTTTCCCATGAGAACACTAAACCTTTTAAGCTTCTCCAAAGCACTGCCTTGTGTGCGAGAACATTATTCACTCATCCATCCATCTGTCCATCTTTTTGTCATCCTCAAACATCCACTTAATCAGTCATCCCATTACCTGCCAGCGACTGCTGTCGTCCTTGCCTCTCTCGCCTCCCCCCGTCAGTCCGTTCGTACTCGGCTTCTTCTCCTGCATCTCAGGCTGGTTGTCGTTGGTCACGTCCAGCATGGGGTTGTCGTGGCAACCATTCTCCACAAAGTGAAGCTCCTCAGCGCGAAACTGCAAAGGTCAAAAAGTACCGAATACTTAGACACCCGGGGGATAATGAGCCCAGTGTTGCAGGACAGGCCTTGTATTTCTTGATGTGTCTATGTGTTCACCGACCGTCGTCTTGGTTGCAGGCAGCCGTCTTTGCCAGCAGATGTATATGAATCCAGATGTGATGATGACCATGCAGACGGAGCCGATGATGACCAGAACCACAAACAACTTCCCGTAGTCGCTGCGTGTCTGACTGGGCCGAGACACACAGCAGCTGGTGGCACTGTAGTTCTGGATTCCCACCTGAGGAGACAGTTGTACAGCAGTTGTTTTACAACTAATAAACCAGTTTGAAGCCTGATGATCTTTTGCTAAATATTTCTTATTTCAGATCAGCTTCCTACTAATATTCAGAAATGGAAACTAAAGAGCTCCGTCCTTTATTTAGGCAGAAAAATCCCTGTGAGAAGATTTAAGCTCTAAAATCATATCCATAAATTAACAGGTAGGTATCACAGTGTGTTTCCTATGAGCAGAAACCTTATGATCGTCATCTATATGTGTGAAATGAGCTGTTATTGTACCTTATTCAGACTTTTCCTGATCTCCCCCAACATGTTCAGCACATCACTGGTGCCTATCACTCCTGAGAAACACAACACGTGTGCAACGATTAAAACAAACCTGTGCCTGCAAATACATTCAAGAATATCATTCTTTTTATTTGTCAAAGTCACAATCACAAAAAACATCTGTGCCGAAAGAAGCAGAAATTTGAAAAGAAGCAACAAAGGAATATAATATAATAATATATGTGTGTGTGTGTGTGTGTGTGTGTGTGTGTGTGTACCATGGCCAGATGCCACGTTCATCAGGAGCTGGTGTTGCTGGTGTGTGGGCTTGCTGAGGAATAGTACCCATGATCCCTGAGGGCTGTTCATCTTCCAAGCAAACACATGTTCAATGATTTTCAGCAACCGCACACCCTGGTCCACACGGAACTCCTCCTGCCACACACACACACACACACACACACACCACAGTCAGGGATTTTGTCCTTTCTTTTCATAAAGGACGGTCGGTCGAAGCCTCATTAATCTGTTGACATTTTCATTTCAATCAAAAACTCTTTGTACTTACACAGTTCAGGTTTTCCGTCATGTTGAGGACGACATACCCACGTCCAACCAGGTCCTTCCAGTCTATACACACCACCTGAAAGATTCAACAACAGCTGAGTGAACATCCTCTAATGCGGCACGGTGGGGCAGTGGTTAACCTCACAGGAAGCAGCTTCCTCCCACAGTCCAAACACAGGCAGACTGTACATTAGGTCGATTGGAGACTCTAAACTGATCTGGTTGTCTGTGACGGATGGATCCTCAACATGTGAACGTACCTGCTGTGCCTTCTCGGCGGCAGTCATCACCCCCCCGCCCTTGACCTCTGACCCCTGGGCCTCCAGGGGCGTGGTCTTGTCCAACAGATCCCAGGCCGGGTCGATTCTTGTTCCTTCTCCCTCCATCTTTTTCCCTCTCTCCTCGTCGGCTCCTCGGTCATTCAGTCTGTCTGCTCGAGCAGATATAATAATACTTCTTCAGATATTGAGATATTCAGAATATCCTTTTACGGTATAATCTTTTTGGCTCAGGCTCTGAGAAAAATGATTCAAGTAGAGAGTGTAGTTTAACTCTTACTACTTTAAGTATGAGGAACATTGTGAGGTTATGATACTTGTGTTTAAGATCCTTCCCACCTTTAATCCCCCGCTCTTCCTCCTCCAGATCCTCTTCTTCCTCCACACTGGGCTGCAGAGGCTCTCTGCTGGGGGCCAGGCCGACCTCTGGTGCAGTGGGTTTCTGGGTAAATAGACCGGCGTGTTCTTCTTCCTCCTCCCGCTCGGTCTCCTCTTCCTCCGTCTCATCTGCAGACACAAACCGAAAAAACAAAACATTTCAGCAACTCTACAATTCTTTCTGACGTGCACGTAGGCTCCTCAGCATTCATGAATCTTCGGGGGTACTCTTGCTGGGCTAGCTGTTTCCCCCTGTTTCCAGTCTTTATGCTAAGCTAAGCTAATTTAGTCTACTAACATTGTAGGCCGAACCTTTCTAATCAGCAGTGGGTGCGTGTAAATAAACACATTTCAAAGACAGAAACAGGAAACAAAATCAAACTCGTCATCAAAAAATGTTTTTTTATAAATTCACTTTACCTTTTGTAAAACTTCCCAGCAGCCCGAAGTCAGTGCCAGTGTCCGTCTCAGGGGTGGAGGTTCCTGCAGCGTCTCCGCCTGCAGCAGCGGCTGCAGTGAAAGCGGATGTGGATGTTGTCGTCGTGGTGGTGATGGAGGAGTGACGGACTCCGTATCCACTGGACTGAACGTCTTCCTCCCCCTCGGCCTCCCACAGCTCTCTCTCTAAAGGACCCATCTGAGTGGAAGACATGTCCTCAACTTTATTTACAGTCTCTCGTACTTTATGACACAAGTTCAAACAACTGATTGTTGCATCCGATGCTCATTGATAAACGTCAGAAGTACTATCACTAATATTACTGGTAATAATATAAGATTAGTGATTTGAGTCAATCGTCTCCTGACTCGGACGATCGGGGCCAAAGAAACACTTTACTAATCTAATCCCATAATCACATGAAGCAGTTAAAGACTAATTCATTTATTCGGCGCAGGGTTCGTGGGTGAGTCGTGGATTACGTCAGATTTATTGTGATCCAGTTAAAGTTCAACTTCAGCAGAAGATTCCTCTGTTTTAAGTCGTCAGTGTTGTTTTTTCATGAATTAAAACCCGAGTAAATAAAGTCATAAATACGTTTTCTGAATTTTAAAAGTTACAAGTTGAAAACTGACTTTATTTTGCAGCCGAAAAGACAAAAACATTTTCTTTCAGTTTCGTTAGTTTTTTTGCGAACTCTATGTAACTTAAATATGTTTTCAGTTTGTCCGTCTCATTCCTGTGAACAAAATATCTCAAGAAGCCTTGAGGGAATTTCTTCCAACAAACTTTCAAAGGTCAAAGGTCACAGTTGCCTCACAGAACCTGATATCTTAAGTCTGACTTTTAGGAACTACCTCATGTTCTGACCAGTTGTCACTCAAACAAATAATAAAATAAAGGGTCAAAGGTCACAGTGATCATATATGAGGCTGGAAAAAAAATGTGTATGTGACTGAAACTGCATCGGGAGGTAATTCTACTTGTTTATAGACGATGCACTACTACTAAAATATACAGCCCTGACAAAACATATATACGGTGAAATATCAGTTTCGTTATCAAGTCATCTTCTCTCCGTCCTCACCTCCAGGACAGGGGACACTCGATGTTCCTGCAGCCCAGAATCATGCAGCTCGGCTGGGGAGGAGATGATGGGCTGCATGGAGCTGGAGGGGTGGAGGGATGGACTGTAGCCTGAGAGACACAAACACACGTCAGTAACATGTGTGTGTGTGTGTGTAAACAATTCTAACACACTTAACGAGCAGCACCGTCTGTTTTGGACACACGTCGTATCCCTCGGAGCAGAGGAGAGATATTTGCTGGATCTCAAAAAGGCATTAAAGATGAACAACAGCAGGTTTCCTCTAAACACGTGATTTAGTTCTGTAGGGAAAATGATTTCTATACTAACCAATCAGAGCATCCAGATCTGGGGTCAGGTGGCTCACGTCTGAAGCATCGCGCTCGTCCTCCCCTCCCTCGCCTCTGCCATCCCCCCTTCTCCTCTCTCTCTCCTCCCACTCGTCCTCTCCTCCTCCTCTTCTCTCTCGATCCTCTCCTCCCTCCTCTCCTCTGTCTCTGTCCTCCGTGTCCGTTACATAGAAGCCAGAGGCCTCCTGGGAGGCATCGCCAGCACCCGGCCCGCCAAAGAGCTCCGTGTCTGGGTCGGCGGCATCCGTGCGACCCCTGTAACCTCCTGCCTCCTGTGGAGCTGCCAAATGGACCATACGCTGAAAGAAGAGGGACAGATGGACAGCTCATGTATAAATATATAAATATCCTGAAAAACTCTCATCCAAATAAATGTTTAAGCGTTTCTAATCAACGAAAGACTGACTTTCAGATCAGAGAGTATCTTTGTTCTGAAGCTCCAGTGGGATTATTTACTGTTTGTACAGGAACTTTATGTCTCTGAGTTTCTCTGAGTCTCATATTTATGAGACACACAAACCCAAACCTCAACTGAAAATCTTCAGCTTTCATCAGAGGCCAAATATTCGTGTCATGGCCGCTGTCGCCTTCAGCTCCGACAGTTTACCCCACATCCTCCTCACCTCCATCTCCTCTTCCACATCTTCATCCACAGTGGCCGGGGTCCTGGCTGCGTCCTGACCCCCAGAGGACGCTGGGTTTAACTGAGACGAGTTGGACTCCACCTGGGATCTGGATATTTCCTGAATCTCCGGCCAGCCCATGTCATGAACCAAGTGAGGCTGGGCTCGCACCAGCTCCTGGACCGAGTGGCGTTTGGTTCGGACCAGTTCCTGGACGAGGTGAGGCAGAGCGGGGCTTTCATCCTGTCTGAGCGGTAAGACCCGCTGGGACGAGGTCTGTCTGAAGCCGTCACAGCTGGACACCAGCGCTACAGGACACAGAAGACATCTGTCACACTGGTCTTTAGTTTGAAAGAGGTGAAGTCAAAGAGTTAAAACAGAACGGACAACTCAGATATAATCTGAAATAAGTCATTTAATGTGTGATGAGGAAAATGAAAGCAGGACAATAACATGAAATATTAATATTAAGGCAGTAATGTTTGCTGACATTTAATTATTGGCTGGACCGGAAACATCTGATATTATTCACACCGTTAAACCTTCATTTCTTTCCTCAACATGAATTAATGGATGAACAAATGTGATTTAAAATCGCTATAAATTAAATTACACAGTGATTGTGTGTATTTTGTTTTGTGCTCTCTGAATAAAGAGCAGCAGCAGAAGAAACAGAGCGAAGATAAGAAACCTTAGTCGCCACTGATTTCATTTACTCTTTAAACTCTGACAGAGTCGAGCTCTTATCTCTGCCCTTGAACCGTCTCTGCTCTGAAAACTCCGTAATGTATTTAAATCTCATTCTTTCATTTACTCCGTCATGCATTCACAGATTTGTTGTTACTGCAGTTTAGGAGGTCTGGACTTTCATCCACTGGAATAAGGCTCCGTTAATTATTGGTAAATGGTAAATGAGCCCTTGATGCTTCAGGTATAAGCAACAAGTGTTTTCAGGCTGGAGATAATCTTCTGTCTTATTTTGGTTGTTTGAATATAGATGCTCAGGTTTGTTTGTTGTTTAGTAAGATTACAGAAAAACTACTGGTGGGATTCAAATGAAACTCGGTGGAATGATGGGACCTGAACCAGAAATAACTCATTCAAGTTTGATGGTTTTAGGGAATAAATGGTTGTTGGTTCACTAATAATTATCTCTTTTTTGTTGTTACTTTCAATTATAAATATCAAGAAATCATTTATTCTTCTTGTTTCTGTTCCAGACGAAAGAAAACCTCGTTCAGAATCCTTCTCTAAAAACACTGATATCTAAAGATCTTTTATTTTTCATATTCTTGTTTATTCAATATTCTAATAAAAAATCCCACTCTGATATTCGATAACACCATTTCCCATGAGCCACAGCAGCTAAAAGCCGGAGCCCGACAGGTCGTGGTCGGTTTGGAGGCAGGATGTCCTCCCATGATGCTCTCTGTCTGGTTCCACAGATGGCTGTCTGACCTCAGAGTCTGACTGAGCAGATTATGATATCATAGCCAACATGTCTGAAACACGTCTGAGACACGCTAAGCTGCCCCCCCCCCACACACACAGATCCTCCAGCTCCTTCCTGCTGACGAAGAGATTTCCAGAAAAAAATCCAAGATGGCGCTGAACAAAATGTCAAACTGGAGGCCAAAGGGTGACGTCCCGGTGGGTCGATGCTTGGAGCTGTCATGTCGTCCGTCTTTAAACACAGTCTACGACTTCTTCCCCCTGATTACCGAACATTTCTTGCTCTCACACCGATCTCACAGTTTCTTCCTCGTCATCTTTATCTCGGTGCCGGTTCGGAGGTTGTCTCGCTCCCCAGCTCCGCTCGCTCCATTTTCCCCCCCGTGGCTCCTCTGTGCGGAGCTGCTAACTCAGCGGTTCGGAGCCTCTGGCTGGACGGACGCCGGGAGATTTCCTCAAGTAATCACGCTGCAAAGTTTCCTTCGTAAACAAAAAATTCAAGGTCACTATTTATGTGCTTTTCTTCAACGTTGGAGACTTGATCTGTCTCTGCTGCAGACGTGACTGTGTCTCTTGGTAAATGACTCAAAATGAATAAACGATCATGTTTTTAAATCGTTGCTGATTTTGTCTCGATCGTTTTTATCTGCGGACGTGATTGAATAAGAAAGTAAAGATGGAAACCGGATGAGCCAGCTGTTTGGTCTCGCTGCCATCGGACACTGCACGACGTCATTTCTTGTGCTCGGTGGTCGCCACGATGAATTGCACATCGCGTGTCAATCCCTTTGTCCACTATGTGGTGCTAGAGAGCATGAACATGTCGACCAGGACGTGAACATTTCATGATTGTGACATGAGCTGCACCTTCTGTAGTCAGCAGGTGGCGCTGTGACTGGTACGTAGATGTGTTCAGGGGACTCTTGAAGTTTGGGCCTGAACTGTTTGAGCTATAAAAACTTCCTGTGTTCCTCAGAATCTGCAGAACTCGTGTTCATCATCTTCCCTGAAATTTCCATCAACGCTGTGAACGTCTCCAGTTTCTCGTCACAGTAAAATCTGTCGGTGGCTGCGTCTGTCGTCTGCAGCTTTTTTTCTGGGTGCAGCCTGTCAGCAGCGGAGGAGGCTCATTAAAGCCCCCTCTCTCAGATCAGCTTAAAGACCGAGACCCTCCCCCAAATCTGCTCATCCTCACCCTGTCGTCTCCTCCCTGTCCCCGTCGGGCCTGCACATTGGGGGAGTAGCCTCTTTTTTTACAGGGAGAATAACAATGTCTTCATTTCTCAAAGCAACAATAAGAAATGCATAAAAAAACAACATGAAAAGAAATAAAAACTAGAATGAGGTGAAATCAGGGAGTGCAGTGAGATAGAAGTACATTCTAAGCTTTGATTCAAAGGAAACCACTGACTCATTGAGCTCTTTCATTGATTATTTCTGAACCTCTGTCGCCCTCAGTCTTGAGCAGAGAATCTGGATCCTGTGCCAGAGGATCTCAAAGTGTGAGCAGGGTCGTGTGAGGATAAAAGATCTGAGATACACCGAGGAGTCCGAACACGAAGTGATTAAAAGACCCGTCGGAGCTTTTCTGAGACAAACTTTAAGAGGCTTTTTATCTTCTGAGTAAAACAGGATTTAAATCTCATAGTGCAGAATGTAAACTGTGGATTCAGTGAAGACTCATTGTCATTTCGCGAGTGTGACGTCGCTCAGAGAAAAATAACGACAACCAGACACAAAGGCTACAGCATCACAACTCTACATCGTTGATTCCAGCTTCTGTCATGTAAGGAGTTTAAATCATTTTAAATCATTTTAAATCATTGCACATTAAATAACTTCGGTATTTTGTGCTGTTGTTAAAAAAACAAGGAATTTAAAGAATGAGTTTTGTGCAGTTTTCAAAGTATTTTTGCAGCTTAATGAAAAACAAATCATCAATAAATCAAAAGCTGCAGCTTCAATTATTGGAAACATCAGGACTGATGGCACAAGCAAAACCAAACATCAGACAGTGTGTGTGTGTGTGTGTGTGTGTGTGTGTGTGTGTGTGTGTGTGTGTGTGTGTGT